TTTTTTTTTTATATATATTGTATACATACATATACATATTAAATGTAAGTACAATATAAAACCATACAATGTAAAATATAATATGCAATTAATAAATATAAAATCAAATAAATAATTATATATCCATATATAATTAAATGCAATATAACTCTATAACCATTATACTGTATATCATGGTGACAAAGGGTCTGCCCCAAGGTTTTGCACAAAAACTAGAGGGAACATTGACTACCAGTCTCATTCTTGCATATCAGCATAAAGAAACTTTAAAGATCTTTTGATCAAAAATCAAAACACTCACTTCATTTGCTTAACTATTGTACTTTTCCCTGATTCCCCAGCACCTAAAAGAGGACAAACAACACAGAACGTTGTTGATGAGGTTGATATTACAAATCGATAAATAAAAGTTTATTCGCCTGACCCAAAACATCACACGCTCAGGAGAAGGTCTGCATTAGATGAATAGAAGCTTTCAACCTCTGCCTCCCACATCACAAGCCCAGCATGAGCTGCAGAACGAGCTCTCTATTTCGGGTTGCGCTTGCCATACGGTGAGATTAAATGCCCTGAAGATGAAAGGCTTGTCTGATGTTAGTTCCCCCAGCCGAAGTGTTTGTGAGGACAGCAGGAGCTACGATAGGTGAGCTTTTTATAACCAAGTCAAATGACTCACTTAAATGGCTTATTTACTAACACACCAGAAAGAGATGTTTGTACAAACATGAGGAAACAGCCCAGTGGACACATGGCGTGTATGTAATCCAATGCTTTACTTCTCAGCTGACAGGTGAAATGAATATTAACAGTGTACATAACATAGTTTACATTAATATGCTATTTAGCAGGTATTGCATTACATTTTTAGCACATTTTGGATATGGAGTAACAGAGTCTGTAATATACAAATCACTTTTACATTGGTTACCTACATTTTTATTAAAATGAATAAGACTTGAACTTAAAACATTCTTTGGCTTGCCATTCTGGTGAAAAATTCAGTCCAGTAACCGTTCATCAACTGTTCAATCTTCAGGATCATTTGTGCTGCCGGTTCTGAGGTGTGGCTTGCTGCCATATTAGCCCAAATTTATGGCATGGATAAGGAATAACTGTGGGTCTTGGGGGCTAGAGAATCACGTGGAAAATTTCTTCTGAGAGTCTTGAACCGCAGGCATGCTGCAGCTGAGAGTGAGATGGCCAAAATGTCCTGCCACGCCTGATGAGGCCTTGGCACAAGTAAAAGCTCATTGAGTTATCAATAGTTGAGCGAATCAAAGGTTTCATGAAAATCAGTTCTGGTCTGGACATGCCAAAAATTCTTCCCAAACAGATTGAGAACACACAAACCTATTGACTTTTCACCAGTGTACATTTAAGCAAGCCGAATCTGGGTTAGTCATTTTTTAAAGGAGTAGTTCACCCAAAAACGCTGAATCAGTTCAATTTGTGCATGAATCATTAAAGGGAAAGTTCACTCAAAAATTAAGATTCTGTCATTATTTACTCATGCTTAAGTTGTTTCATTCACTCTGTGAATTTCTTTCTTCTGTTGAACATAAAAGAAGATATTTTGAAGAATGTGGGTAACCAGATAGTTGCTGGTCCCCATCGACTTCCACAGTACTGGAAAAAAAATACTATAGTCAATGGGGATCAGAAACTGTTTGGTTACCCACATTCTTCATAATATCTTCTTTTGTGTTATACAGAAAAAACGAAATTCACAGAGTGAATGAAACAACTTAAGGGTCAGTAAATGATGACAAAATTTTCATTTTTGGGTGAACTATTCCTTTCCATCGACTTCCACAGTACTGGAAAAAAAATACTATAGTCAATGGGGATCAGAAACTGTTTGGTTACCCACATTCTTCATAATATCTTCTTTTGTGTTATACAGAAAAAAAGAAATTCACAGAGTGAATGAAACAACTTAAGGGTGAGTAAATGATGACAAAATTTTCATTTTTGGGTGAACTATTCCTTTAAGACTTGCATAAACTGGATAAAATGATTCACTGAAGACGCTCATTTGCAAAAATTCATGAATCATGAATTCATGACATTGTTACTTCTCTCATTAACAGACCGTAAGTAAAATCAGCAATAAAAATCTGACAACAATAGTATCATAGATTGCACTTCTTCGGACCAAATATATATAAAGTGAATAATTTATTATTGCAGAACTGTTAAAAACTGTTACATGTGTTACAAAGTAAAATAAACAAGCAACTGAAATGAATGAATGAATTATTCAATCAATCAATAAATAAAGTGAAGTGACGTGTGGCCAAGTATGGTGACCCATACTCGGAATTTGTGCTCTGATTTAACCCTCCAAGTGCACACCCGGAGCAGTGGACAGCCATATTGCTGCGGCGCCCGGGGAGCAGTTGGCGGTTCGGTGCCTTGCTCAAGGGTCTCACCTCAGTCATGGTATTGAGGGTGGAAGAGAGCGCTGGTTATTCACTCCCCCCACCTACAATCCCTGCCGGACCAGAGACTCGAACCCGCAACCTTCAGGTTACAAGTCTGACTCTTTAACCATTAGGCCACTACTGCCCAAAACAGTGTGTAGAGATGCTGGGGATTGAACCCAGGACCTCTCTCTACCACTGAGCTACATCCCCAGATTATCACTCATATCGAGGTTCTCATTGTGAGAGCACTGATTTAGGAGCCAAAGTCAATGTAATCACTCACTCCACATAAACTGGATCCTAGATCAGAACTTACACACTTTTTCCTAATAACCACAGCTCTGCATTTACAGCCACTTGAGTGAGAGCCATACATGGTCTGGATGCCGTCCGAGCATCAGGTCTTGCACTGGTTCTGTGCGGCACAGCCACAGAATCTCCACATACACATCTGTGAACGCTTTGAATCGGTGTGTGAATGCCTTACTCCTGCTGTAATTATTCAGTTAGCTGCAGTGACATGTGCAGTGTGGTTAAGATGGCCGCTATTATTAACCCCAAGCTGAGCAGAGCCATGCTTTGTGATTTATATATTTTATCTTTAGCTATTTATTTTTGATTTTCAATAGTGCAGGTTTACACGGAGCAGTGAGCTGACCCTTGAAGTCAAACCCCCAACTGAGCAATATCCTCTTGTGGGATAATGGTGTTATCAAACGGAAACTAATATTACATTGAGAAGTCATCCCAAAGTTGACAAGCAAAAAGTTTCTTTCAGAAACTGAGAGTTAAATGGGAAGTTCAAATCAAAAATGACATTATTTAATTACCTTTATTTTTTTTTCTGTGGAAGACAAAATGATTTTTTTTTAAACAGATTGTGGCGTTCATGTGGGTTCAACTCATAAATATGATCTTTCCACAGTGGGAAACTCTGAACTTTCTTTAAGATAAGAGTTTTAGAGTTGGGGGCTTGTCAGTGTCAACACAATAGATGCAGCATCTGTATTGATGCTAAATTTGTTGTTTAATTAATTTTTTTATTTTCATTTCAAATAAAACTTATTACATGTTACATGTCAAAATGTGACAGTATTGCGCAATTATGATAGAATATATATTGATTCAATTTAAAACTAAAACATATAAAAGCAAAAACACATTACTCATCTTGTTCCAACCAAAATGACATGAACGCACCAGACGTCTTAATTACGACTTCTCAACTCGAGAATAGTTCTCGAGTAGTTCTCTGAAGGACTTGAATGCATCATATGTGAGAAAAATATTAGGTGTGCTATTTTCAATTCAACATGTTTCCTAAATTAAATAAAACAATAAAAAAATAATAATTAAAATAATAAACTAAAGTAATTAATTTAATGATTTCTGAGTAGTCTTTAGAAAGCAAAATGAAATGGTTTAAAAATAACACTGATCAGTGCTTGAAGTGGAAAAAAAGTGTCAGTACTCCAATCATTTTTACACAATTAATTAATTAATTACTTTTCATAATTCCCAATGTATGTATATAATGCAGAAAGAAAGAAAGAAAGAAATTTGTCTAGAGCATTTTTAAAGGGGTCATATGATGCGAGTTAAATTTTTCCTTTCTCTTTGGAGTGTTACAAGCTCTTGGTGCATAAAGAAGATCTGTAAAGTTGCAAAGACTTAAGTCTCAAATCCAAAGAGATATTCTTTATAAAAGTTAAGACTTGTCCACGCCCTCCTAAAACGCCTCGTTTAAACACGCCCCCCACATGTCTACGTCACTGTGTGGGAAGATTTGCATAACACCACCCAAATGTTCACGCAAAGAAAGAAAGCATAACTTTTATTCTCGCTGTAGTATTGTTGACACTGCAGCCATGTCGTGAAGACGCTGTGTGCTTCGTTGTGAAAGCGAAACTACTTTGTTTAGTCTTCCAAAAGAGGGCACAACTAGAAATCAGTGGTTAAGTTGTATTTACAACACTGTTCCAGAACAGTTCAACCCAAATATTCAGATGTGTGCAGCACATTTTATGGAGGACTGTTTACTGATCCTGGGAGAGTAACATTAGACTAAAATGCCGGCAGTTCTGACTCACGTAAGTACGTTTTCTTTTATCATTTGCCACTGATGATTCAAACGCGAGTTTTGAGCAATTGTAGAGTAGCGCTTGTTGTTTGTCATTTCTCCAATCACAAATGCAGACATGGTTTTATGTTTACGCAGCGCAATGCGTAAAAAGACAGTATAAGTCAGTA